CCTGGCTGCAGAAGGCTGTATTTGCATGCGAAATTGCAAACAGCTAGTTTATCAATGGAAACATTGTACGACAAACCACAGGAATTTTCAAAAGCAAAAATAGTACACCAATAAAACCTTCAAGTCAGAAATAGGCTGTATGCACAGGCCTTGGACAATGTCAAATTAATGTCATAAATATATACCCTACTAGTATGTCTGCATAGCTCATGTAGAAAAGGCCAAAGGCATAGCATCAGAAAAGACACAGACCTTTTCTTGTAAGAGCCAAACCCATTAATGTACCACAATAGGCACTTAAGCTGACATTTATTAGAATTTATATCTTGCTTTCTTCCAATATATCAAACCTCTTATTCATTTGTTTTTAACGTTCATGTGAATGAAGTGTACAAGAAAAATGTGGGTTTGAGAGCAAGTCCTTTATTAAGTAGATCATGGACAGTCTGTGCTTTACCACATAATCCCACAACCCTGACCTTGAGGATGCTGATGCTCTAGGGCGAAGAAGCCTCTAGGGTCCAACTCGACCCTCAGCCATCCAAAAAGGTAGCCGGGGCTTATTTTAAGTGATGTGGATTAGAAATGTCAGCACAGTATATCAGTAGGTCTGTTGAACCATTAAGTTTCTAGGTCCACTGTACATACAGGGAAAGGGGTAGCAAAATTCCACTTCCACAGATTGCCGAACCATATGATCAAAATAGCATGGACTCTGGGCATTCATTCAGCAGCATGAGCATTATTAATGGCATTGACTTTGTCACAAGTTGGAAGCCAGGGACTAGACCACAGGGAGCCCTAAAATGCAGAGTCTAATCTGAAATGCCAAGATTTTATGAGAAAAGCCTGGCACGGATACAAAATTTTGTATCCACATTGCTCTCTGCAAAAATAAGCCACAGAGATCTGCAAATGGGCAGATAAAAAAAATCTACATCTCTGTCTGCAAAAACAAGCAGTGGGATATCTGCATCCCTATCTGCAGATGTGGATATAAAGCAGATATCCACAGATCTGTAGGGCTTTATCTATAGGCATGCCACTTAACTTCTCTCCCTGCTGTCCCTATTATAAAATCACTCCTACATATCCTCCCACCCCAGTAAAGCCCTTTCAATTCCTCAGGGGGAAGGTTCAACCAAAGTACAAAGTGTGTTACTTTGACAAACTCAGGAATTAATTTGAAGGAGGGGTTTTCGTGTTGCCCTCCCAGCGGGCCTTAGATTTTCAGCAGTATTTTGTTTTACTGCACCTAATTTACCATCTGGCAGCACCCCAGTCCTCAAATGCACTAGCTGCTGAACAAACAGAAAGAATCCGTTTATGGTTCTCTTGCTTGGGACAATTCATTCAATTCCAGAATCACATTCAACACTAGAGCACTGATTTCATTTCCCACAGAGCTTTTAAAAGAAAGGTAACATGGAAGTCTTCACAAAGACTTGCATGTCAGCCTATGGCAGGGCTGGGCAAGGTACGGCCCACCTAACACTTTGATCCAGCCCATGGACTGCATCTGGCTGCTTTTTATTTATATGTTGCTGCCTGTGCACTGAATTTTCAGGTGGTGGCGGCTCAGGCAGCAGGATCCTCTTTAAATGGATCACAGCTCCCTGTCATGGCACTACCTGGAAGGGGCCAGAGCCGCAAACATTTTAAATAGCTGCAGCAACCCTGGCAGCAGCCGGCCAGGAGCCACGAGCCCTTTGCTGTGTTTTTAATTCAAAGCTTCCAGGCCCAGACATCTCTGGGTGGAGGCTAATCCCGAGGCCCCACCCCTTTGAGGGGTGGAGCTGGCCCATGATCACATAATTAATTTTGCTAAGTGCCCCCACCCCGGTGAAAATTATTGCCCACTCCTGGCCTATGGGAGCACCAGGCTAATCAAGTTTTCCTTTAATCTGAGCTGCATATTCTCTTCTGTGCTCCTCTTCAAGTTAACTGGCCTGGACACACACATCCAAAGAAAAAAAGTTTTATTTCAAATAAGTGAGTCAGGCAAGACTAGCTTTCATACAGAATGCAGCACAAAAATTGCACCCACCTCTTTCTTATTTTAGAAGATTCTCCAGAGAATCTGACATTTTTGGCAGTTCTTAAAAAACAAACTCTCCCAGCAGTGCATTCCTTTCTATTGAATGTCAACATTTTTACCCAGGGCACTGGAGTATAATCCCAGCTCTGCCACTGTCCCGTTTGGTGACCTTGGGCAAGTCACTTCCTGTTTCTATACTTCTCCTTTCTTACTCTCTGTCTGTTACCTATTTAGATTCAATTGTTTGAAGTGGGGACTGTCTCTTCCTATTTGGACAATGCATCACACAACGGTGGCTTACACAGTTTGAGCCTCTGGGTTCATTTTCACATGTCTGTTTGGTTTGGATGTTGGTTTGCACGACTGATATTAAGTATGGAATATTTTTATTTTCCTGCTTGGTTACCCTATCCTAGCCATGGATATCTTAGCCTGGTTTTAAAGGCTCTCCAGCCATGCCTTGCTAAAGTTAAACACTGAAGCCCAGTTCTCAGAGGCACAAAACAGAGAAAGCATCTACTAACAGATGGGAGCTAGGAATGTCCAGTGCCTCTGAAAATCAGGCCCTTTAAATACAGAGTAAAAAGCCTGACTTTGGACAAACATTGCAGAGGGGTAGCTGTGTTAATCTGTGACTTTAAAAACAAGTAGTCCTGTGGCACCTTAGAGACTAACAAAAATAAATATATAGTATCATGAGCTTTCATGGGCAACACACACTTCTTCAGATGAGATGATCTTGAGTGGGAAAAAGGGAGCAGCCAAGATTGAAATTACAGGCCTTAACACGTCATATTTTAATGATTGCTCATTTAAGGCATCACGAGTGTTGAAGAAAAAAAGTAACACATTGCTTCAAGCCCCACGCTAATCAGATTATTTAAGACACACAGATTTGTGTGTGTGGACTGTGTCACTCATTTGTCACCGTTTACTTGAAAATAAGTAGAACTTTTTAAAAAGAGCGAAGGAGCAGTGGATCCCGTGGGCGATGTGCATTTGCAAAAGGTGATGAATAGCTGAGAGAATAAGAAATGATAGGTTTTAGATAGCAGCGGTTTAAGGCGTGGGTGTGGAAAGTAATTTCAGAAATTAATGAGTATAGAAGCAGGCACGCACAATAAGGGCTTTTAATGTTGGAGGGGGAAAAATACAGGGAACTGAAGTGAGGAGGTTGCACAAATTACTTGCGGGGCAAGATCCAAGGGATTTAAGGCATTGCAGCACCTAACTTAGACACCTCGACAATCTGGAAACATTGCAATCCAGTTAGGTGTCCAGGGACCCTGTACAATGATTGGGAAGAAAGAGGTGCCCAAGAAAGTGATGCACAAAAGACACCACCCTAAACAGAGCCCCACCTAATTAGCCAGTGGGAAAAGCCAATGAGGTGTGCGCTAAGCCATGCACCTCAGATTAGGGATGCAAGTGTCAAGTCGACTATCCAATAAGCATATGCTTATCAGATAGTCAACTGGTGACTGGACTTGTCGTTTCCCCCCTTCCTGCTGCCTCTATCAGAGAGAGGCAGCGGCTGGGAGGAGGTGGGGGAGCAGGAGCTGGTGCTGGGGAAAGCTGACTTAAAAGCTAGTTTCCCCCCAGCACCATCTCCATGGGGTGGGGAGGGGGGGGAGGTAGAGGCGTAGTAGGGGACCGGACATGAGCCAGGAATCAGCTGATTCCCGGCTCGCGCCT